TAATATTTTACAAGCTATAGTTTGGATGTGAAAAGGAAAAAAGCTCCAGAGGTTTAAAAACTATATATTCCTATTGTAATACATCCTATACTTGTTTATTTTGTGTAATTAGATATGATATTGCCAATTAGGATATGCATTTTGTTACATTTGCACTATGTGTTTATTTATGATTAGATGGTTGTAGTTCAAGCCCTGAGATTGTTGTAAAAGTAGCTAAATGATTCAAATAGGATCAAAATATTAGTGCAAATATAGAAAACTTTATTACATTGTTGTATGAGGAGTTAAGTGGTTTTATGCAACGCTAAACCTCCTCATTTTTTTTATATTAAAGGAGTTGAGAAATAAAAATTTGGAATTGATGAGATTATGTGCATGTGGTGTACTGTATAGGTGGTTCTAAATCCCTTGAGTGTGTTTTGGGTGTTAGTAATAGCTTTTGGCACATGTGTAAGGTTTTAGATACCTTTAATTTGTGAAAAGTATGAATTGTTGAGAAAATATATTTAGGTGTCCAAATTTTATATGTAAAATAAGTTGGAAGTAAAATTCATGTCATTAGTTAATTTATGAAAAAGTTTTTCGTAGACATCTAAATCACCCATTGCGACATCGCCCATTTAGACATCAAATGGAGAAATAAAGCACATCAAAAGTTATCCCCGAATGCTGTCATTTGACAGTAGGCTGCTATCTAATATCGTGCAACATAATGCGGCATAGAGAAGGACAAGCCGTGGTGCCCGTGCACAAGCATGGTGCATTCCTTTATTTTTCACATCCTCAATATTTTCAACTAGTTTTGAGTCCATGTGAATCCAAAAAGGTATCTCATACTTTTATAATGATATTTTACTTTATTTGAGTTTACTGATTAGTCTTTAAATTATTTTCAAATTATGAAAACTTGAAATTTTATTTTATAAAATTACAAACTTGATAATCTAATTGGATTAGTATAATAATTGCCTTGGATTTTGTGTTATTTGTAGATTGTGAGGGTGGCCTTACACATCCTACATGCATTCTTTTAATTTTATTAAACGAATGGGCCTCACAATTCAAAATAAAAGACATAGTTGGCTCAAATTTAATGGTTGGTGTTGGATGCTTGATTTTAAATAATTAATTATTTATTTTACAACGCATCATAATATAAGATACCAGATGCTTATTGGAAAATAGTGTGACTAAATTTGTACCTCTATCTTAGTTTTTTTTTTCTAGCCATAGTGGAACTGTGCACTTCTAGTAAGCTTCTCGTTATTTATTTTTTAAAATAACCTAATCAATAATAATGTGTCTCACACCACAATATATTGTCAGCTCATATTGAATATAAACATCACGCTCTTGGATACATTTATATACGCATATGACTGTATCTGGATCATTAGTTGCCAGATCAGTGATCAATTTAAATAAGATGCAGAATGTTCATAGAATATTTTCCTTGATGTATATAAAATTGATGTTACTAGCTGGGTTCGTACAACAACATTAAAAACAATTAGGCACAATATGGGCATTTAAATTACAGCGCTGAGAAAAACACGAGTTAGGAGTTACAGACACTAAAAGAATGTCAGTTAATAATAAATATAAAGTGGAGAAAATGATATATTTGACAAGGAGATACTGGCGGCGACGGCATTTTAGAGAGAGGCAAAAAGGAATTATCTATGTGGGGCCCTTAGCGACGGGGAGGTGAGTCCCGAAAGGGGCCTCAATTTATGACTCAGCCCTGACTTTGGATGCCAATATGTATGTCGGCTCCTTCCATGTCATGCATGCATGCATCGCCCATTTATGCTCATCCCATCAGGATGTCGCATCGATTCCCATTCATACATGCATGTATGATGCAATATTATATGGTTTGTTTGAAAAATAACGTTGCGTGCTAGCTCTGGAATGTTCTGGATATTGAACCCTTTAACAAGTGCTAGTGTGAAATGAAATTTGAGCAACCATCAATAAAATATATTCACAGTGATTACTAAATTTAAGTATGATTTTTCTTGTTTAAATTTATAACTAAATTCTGTGGTAAACATTTCAAGAATATAACCAGCGCAATATTTACTCACTTTGATATTTATGTTGATTATAAATTTTTTAAAAATATCAACTAAATTACAATACGAATATCGATTTTAATGCTTACTATTCTTTTGTAATATTTTATTGTTTTGATACAAATTTTGATGTGAAAATATTACTAATAGAATTTATATTTTATAATGGTGGAGTAGCCTGCTAAAAAAAGTGAGATCAGATTGTGGACTCGCGACTCACGAGAACGGGGTTAGGCACGACGCACGAGACAGCCATCGGACTAATGGGCCCCATTCCACGTCACTAATACATGGCACCGTGTTGGAGTTTGAATTTGCACGCCAAGAGTGCTAGCTAGTCTCTCGGTCCATGACCCTTACTCTCTTACGCCTCTTCCCTGTGGCACCCAAAGTACATTACTTGATCTAACGGTCTACCTTTCAAAGTTTCAGTTTCATCCCTGTTTCAACTCCAGCATCTGTTTTTACCTCATTGCTTGTTTGTTTTCAGTTAATTAAAAACACTTTGGTGACCAAAATCGACAAAATTTTAAACGCTCCACTAATGCTTTTGAGAAATATACATTGATGAAGCTGCCAGTCCATGTAATGACAATCATCTTAGAGTTACTAAAAAACTTAAAAAATCAGTTATTGAAGCTATAATATTAAATAAATTGAACCCTAATTAAAATGTATCAATCCATAGAATGGACATAAATCATTTAAAAAGTAAGTTATCTTTTGAAAATAATTTTTTATCACACTTTCTTTTACAACGACTATTAATAAGAGTTAGAATTCATCATTAAGACACATTAGGTTGTATTTTTTTGCCAAAATGTTGGGTTATGCTTGACGAGATTAATCTTCACAAAGTCAAGTATATGTGGCTTTGCCAACAGTGAAATCAAATGAAATAAAAAAACAGACTTAAAAAATTATTGTTGGCAAGCAATAATAAGGAGGGAAAGAATACAACAACAAATGTAGTACACCGTGAAGTTTTTATGAATTTGTGTAGAAGAGTAATGTATGGTTATTCAATGAATTATGTATCGTACATTTCAATTTGATAATTTGTATGAATGTTATGCAATAGTTGTTAAGTATATATTGCTTTAAGAAGTGGCATTAAAGTAACACCACGGGTAGTGAACGCCAGGTTTTTTTTTTTAATTCAAAAGCATGTAGTTCAATATTAATAGCTACGTAACGATGCTGATAGATATAATTTTTGTGCGATAATATAAGGATGTGAAAGCAGTTATTGTGTTCAGGTCAAAAAAAAAAAAAAAAAGCAGTTATTGTGATTGGTTTTGCTGGCGTTCGATTAGTTGCCAGACAAATGTTACTGACGACCATTAGTTTTTGTGTTGTGAAAACGGAAAACGTTGGGGATCAAGGTCAAAATTCAAAAGGTCGGAATCTTGAGAAAGATAATGAGCAGCATGCTGCTGGTATCAAAACCCACGTGCACACCACCCAGGGTCATATTCTACATTCTTTTTTAACCAGAGCTACAATTCAACCTGCATTCATGGTGGGCTGCGTCATTTGACTTTTGAAACTCTCTTTTTTGAACAAGAAAATCTCCAGCATGACGGCTAACATATTTGACTAAATATACGTGTATTTATGGATAAGGCTAGGATACAAGGGACCCGGATTTTCAGCGTTTTTCTGTTCTCACCGTAAAATTTAATGTTTTGTCTTCTCAGACCAACTCTATGTGACGTGTGGAATTTGTGGTAGGCGGTAGTAAAAGGCACCCTGGATGCTAGGTTTAATGGCCCAGGCATTAAAGATTTTGCTTTTCTATTAAAATACTGTTTATTTAACTTTCAAATGATGAAGATGGTCAAAAAATCTTTCAAATGATGAATAAATATTAAATAACGCATATCATATCAATCAAATTCAAAAAACAAAATTACTAGGTTTCAGGGAAAGTTTACAGCATAAGTTTGTCACCAGGTGTAATCGTTGTCACCAGCTTTCAATTAGAGATAGGGCACAGTAATGCTACCCTCTTTGTTTTAAAAACGGTGAGATATTATTCCATTTAAATATCTAGAAGACGTTGGTCATTGAATCTTTCATTTTGATCAATATCTCATCCATAAGCTTCCATACAGGCAATATTGTCTAACCCACGCCTGTTGATTTCGATCAAAATGAAGGATATTGGTCAACATATTCCGTACATTTTTTATTTTAAATATGGCTACATTCTACTATCAATTATTCTTGACAAGAAGTATGTGGGGGTGTGAACTCTCTTCAACTCTAATTCATTTTTTTCATTCCCCCCCCCCCATGGATCGCAAAGATTGGAATCAATAGTATAAATTCTCATTACCGTAGATGGTGGGAAATATTAAAATAAAATGAATAAAACCTGGGGCAATTGAGAGAAAAAACGCAGGCTCTGGATTTAGAGAATCTCATGTTTTAACTCATACAGTGATATGACAGTTTTATTTTGCCCAAGGGGGGAGGATTCCGTAATAGCACTAATCCACTCTTTAAACTTTTATCACATTTTCAACTCATTTGAACCCAAATTATGAATTCTGCACGTAAGAAGGCATTTGGCAAGTGAATATATTTGTACGGTTCGTATTCAGAAGTTGATTGTGAAATATTTTGAACACAAACACACACAAACAGGCAAGTATGTTGTCATCAAAATTACTAAAAGTTGATTATCTAGCAAAATTAAGATCGAAGCGAGAATATCACAAAAAATGGACACTAAAAGCTAAAAGCTACGATCATTTTTTTTTTTGGTTCCATAGTAAAGGGTTCCGCCAAAAAGGCAGGGGGTTCCATAAGAATAGACAGGTCCAGCATATCATCATGACCCAGCATCAAACTCGCTTGATCTTAATTTTATATACACATACCGGGTTTGACTACAGAGTTGAGATTCATGAAAATGAGGAAGGCATAAAGAGAAAGGAAAACGTTAGAGAAGACTAGCAAGTAAATCAGGCACTAATATATTTGTTTGGTTGTTTAAGAGACAAATCATAAAAAGAAGAATCGGTCACTAACGGGCATTGCTCATGTTTGTCCACCTTTAGACAATACCTGTCAAGCCGCTATTCCGTAACTGGGTTGAAAAATTAGAAGGAAAGCCCAAATAAAAGTGATAGGCCCAGGGTAGAGCCCAAAATAAGATCTAAGACAAGCAGCTATTATGATCGGGAATAACAACCTTGAACCCCTTACTCTTTATGGCGTTAACTATGGCCCATGCCTTCGGACAGCTGTGGAGCTCCTTCTTCTCGATTTCCTTCGCGGCGTGGATGTGGACTCCACTTCCTAGCCCCTCCGTCTTCAGCCGCATCGCCAGCACCTCTCCAATGGCCGGGGCCGAGGCCTTGGAGTCAAAAGCGTCCTTGATTGCGTGTTCCACCGTCGATGCCGTTGCCACCATCCGGCCGCTGCTCTCGTCCACGACGTTTGCCGTTATGTGCTTCGCCGAGATGAAGAGTCTTAACAAGTATCTCTTCTCTCCCATATCCGTCTCATCCAGATTAGCGTCAAGCCAAGACAGGAGCTCCAAACTCCCAAGTCCTACGCTAATTCTCTGCTCTTCGAGTTTCGCATGGGCTGAAGGCCAATGTCATGTGGGTCCTCTTTTACACGCACTTTCCCTGCCCTGAAGGTTCCTAATTCAACTGTTGCTTAAATTTCATGTTAGGAGTTGGGGCCTCTTTTTCTTTTTCTTCTTTTGGGTCCAAAAGCTACATTTTACCCTTGAATTAAATTATAACAACAAAATTAATGCATCATATTTGATTATATTCAAGTATACATATTTAGGTAACACACACACGGCCAATAATTTTGGTAAAATCTAACGAATTAGTTCGAGTAAATTTAAAAAATTTTAAGATTGACTTGAAAGTTATATATATATATATATATATATATTACTTCTAACTTATTTGTCTAAATTTAAATAGGTTTTGTTTGAATACTTAATTTTTTTTTGTTATTAATAAAATAAAATTAAACATGCACTTTAGCTTTTATTTAATACTCACAAAACCTCTTCCTAACTCCCCACTTGCACATTCCATGCTCTTAATTGAAGTTTTAATGTTGCAATAACAATTTATCTTGGATATTTTTGAAAATGTTTAGGAAAAATAAACCTAGTGTGCTATTTTATAGTCTTTTATTTTTACTCTTTTAATATTTGGTTTCGTTTTAATAAGGATAGGAAAAAAGATGTATTATTTTAAGCTTAAAATTGGAAATGGTTCGAAAAATAAAATAAAATAATATTTAATAATTTAAATATTCAAAACCATCATGAATAAGCTTGAAAAATCCAAGATGTTAAGGTCAAGCTTAGTTAAATAAATTTTTTATATGTTTTGATATTTTAAACTCAATTCAATTAAATTTAACCCATTTGAGTTACTGGCTATACACATACATCTCCATGAATCTTTCACCAAAATGATATATTAAATATTTAATTAAATGAATCGGGTCTTTGGAACCCTTTATGGGTTTTGGCGGTGTTTGCTTTTTTTTTTTTGGCGGTGTTTGCTTGAAACTTAACAAAGCAAGGAAGTGATGTTTTTTATAATTAATTTTAAGGAGAATTAAAATCAGGTCTCACATAAAAAAAAATAATTATTATAACGTCTATTGACAACTGAACTAAATTGTATTGACAACTAGTTATATTATAAACGTAATTTAATTCAGTTATCAATAAATCTTACAATAATTAATTTTCTTATGTGTGACTTTAATATAATTCTCCCTTAATTTTAAATGGAATATAATGTTTTATTTTAATCTAAAGTTACAAATATTTTATACATTTCAAAGTGCATACACCATTTTTTTTTATTACTCATAGTTATCTTCTTACTCTATTCGAGATACAGTCAGATATTAAGTGTGATGACTTTTTTCAGTGGGGATTCAAATTTTAATTTATCATATTATGAGAGATTAACCATTTCCACTATATCCAAATTCCATTAGTGCATTTGTCAGTATTTATCTAGATTTAAACTTTTAAAATTGGAAAGCAAATTACCGGCAGTTTAGATCTTTAGTTCAATTTTATCAGAAAAATCTCCCTTGATCATTGTTCGTTTGGACCTGTCGGCTTTTGCCACATTAAGTGGACTAATGTAATACCATTTTGAATTACATGCTGTGATGTGGCAATAGATAATTGTTCCATGCTCATGATAGAGATCACTTCAATAGAATTCGACTTAAGTAAAAAGCCATGAATTGCAGTGAATTCGAATCCACTAATTGTTTATTTGTCCCATCATTCTCATAGAATGTTAAAAAACTATAGACTTATTTGGGTAATTCTCAAAAATACATCTAAATTATACTTGTAATGTACTTTTATCAAATTCAATAAATAATTGAATCTCTTAAATATATTTTTCTCAAATGTAAATTGAAATCCAAATAAATATTATGTATCCAATAAATAGCTTATTTCGTTCAAAAAAAGGGGCTACAGAGACGTTCATGATTTGCTCCTAACGAAGAATCACATGCAATTGTTCCTGCACCTAGGCAAGCATGTGGATTTCCATCACAAGATTTTATTTCTGGGGCCACCGGGTCTCCCGATGACTCTACATTGATCAGTTACGTGGGTTATCGCATGAGCCGTGTATCCACCAATTAAGCTTGATTGATGGTTGAAATTTGAATCCTTACCCGTTCAGTGGATGATGATTGGTGAGTAAATCTAATAAAATGGTTCCAGGCGGCTCGGCATGTGCATGTATCTTGCTGATACAATGTACGATGAGCTCGGTTGATCACGACGATTGCTTATTCTAGCACTCAACTTTAATTGGCTCTGGGTTGAAACTATAATGCAGATCTTCTCGCTTTATTATTATATTTGAGGTCTGCACGAACATCACTGGAAAAATCTGTTCCCTTGGTCAAAGAAAAAGAAAAATAATGTTCCATTCGAACAGTTAAGCCAGTGGTTCTTCATTCTTACCAGCACTAGTATCAAAACTTCATCTTCACGAGTGAGTAATTTGGGCTCCACTGTCATCTTTTACCACAAAACAAGAATCTTCATCTTTAATGACGAAGCCCCCAACAAACAAGAAATCATTAGCCCTCAGACACATCTTGCAACCTACCGTAAAATTCTTTCACCTTTTTCAGGAAATTTAATCCGACAAGATCTAAGCTGGACTAGCTCTTATATTGAGCGAGTGCAGTACCATGAGTGCAAAACGTCAAGGTGAACCAGGATCAGGTATATGCTAAGTGTCGCGAGATCAATAACTAGGATTACCAAAACGCAACTGGGTCCCCAAAAAAATAAAATAAATCTACCCGTCTCTACCGTCAGTTTTATCAGAAAACCGTATTTCTGAACTGGGTTGCGTCAACTACATTATATTAATAGTGAGACAAGGACAACAAATTCTAGGCACTAAAAGTCGACGGTCAGACATGAACACCGTTTGAGGAGAAAGAAACTGGCCAGTCAAGGCGTCAGATGTCATTGAATGCTATGCATACCCGCCCACACGCACTACGCATGGCTCCTCAGACAGGGTTTGGCTTCAGGAAATTTCATGGCTCCCTCCATTTTATCTGTATAAATAGCCATAGCCTGCAATAGACACTGCAAGTGTAATATCATATCAATAAGAAGAGATTAAAAGACTTGTTTTCAAGATGCTTGGATCTTTTGCTGGGAACATACAAAAGGGTCTCTCACTCTTCACATCGAGAAGATCAACACTCAGCTACTCGAGTGAAGATCAACTAGAAGCAGCAACTATAGTGCCAGATGATGTTAAGGAAGGTCATTTTGTCGTTCTCGCTACCATGGGTGAAGAGACAAGAAGGTTTATTGTTGGATTGGAATACTTGACTGATCCTGCATTCATGGGACTGCTAGATCGGGCTGGGGAAGAGTATGGTTTCAGCCAGAAGGGCGCTCTTGCTGTTCCTTGCCTTCCTCAAGAACTACAGAAGATTCTAGACAGTGGGAAGGCTGAGTACTAATCATCTTCCCATCATAAAACAAGTTTCAAGCAATAGTAATTTGTAGTTTAAAGCCTTCTCCTGAATCATGAACGTTATATGTAGCTTATTCATTATATTCTTTAATTCTGGAGCAACTTGTTTCAAATGTTCCAACTTACTAGAGTTTGTATCAAAGCCCTAGACAGACTCCCCAAGCATTAACATTATTCGGCACGATATTATGAGCTTATGGATATTATATTTCATTCTTCTTTTTTTTGGGGGGGGGGGGGAATCTAATATTGATACTTGATTGCATTGCAACGGTTAATGTAAAGTCAGATGGATAACATTTTGGAGCTAGCGATCTAGTTAACCTTCACACAAAAGCCACACCAAATAAGCAAACTGGTTCAGCTCTGCAGATAATGCAGGCATGCTTTCTGCAATGTTGCAGTAACAATATTAGAAGAGTCTTAATCTCCTGCTATCCATTTGATTATCAATTATTCAACGCAGTCAACTAATATCTAGCCAGAATGGCAGAGCTAGGCTCACTGTTCGTGTCATGCGATTAAAGCTTGTGCAAAACTGGTCCTTTGCTAGTCACATGACACCCCAGGCTGGCCAGGGGCCACCATCACCACAGATCTAGTGCCTAGACACACATTTCACTGGCTTTCCCTAAGCCAGCGGCTTCCTCCTGTGCATTGTGTCATTGTATGAGCCGTACAGATAATATAAAAGATTTTAAGATGAAATAAAGCAATTCGTACATGTTTTTGCCAGCACGGCACCTTTGGTCTCGAACATTTAAATCCCAGGAACCTTCCATTCTGTGATTTGATAATGGATAGGAGAGAGATGAGATCAAGATAAAATTGCTCCTTAACGCAACATATCAAACAGTGTCACAACCATAAATTTTTTGGATAGAACTCACTTCCAAAAGATGCCTTGTAAGGGGAGGATACCCTGACTTATAAACCACACTTTACTAATGTGATCTCTCGATATGGGACTCGTAATAAACAGCTGCTTGATTAAGGGCTCAAATTCAACAATCTAGCTTCCACTGAACTCCAAGGCCTCTGCTCGAATAGATAGAGTAAGATTCAAAGGTGAAGTGATATTTACCTTCAGATTACTTACAAATTTAGAGTTGTTGGACAATCATTTATATATATCAGTGTAAATGTTGGTTCTTAATTCTTAAAGGACTCAAGGAGTCATTCTCATAGAAGGGTTATAGAAATTCAGTGGGACTATTTGGTCTATATTTTACTTCATATAGGCATGACATTTATACAGAATAGGTCCATTCGACCATACTCTTCAATAATCCTTACATCTATAAATACATGTGAACGAGGCTCGAATTCTGATAGAAAATGCAAGCACAAAACATGTGATTTCTAGGATAAATACTCGCTAGTGAATGATTTACTAGAAGACAGAATTCAATGTGACTTTTCATCCACTGCTCTGTTCAACCAGCACAACTTAACCAATCACAGACGGCATATTGACAGACCATTTGATTCTCAGTCTGTTGGGGCATCTCTCGTATTGTGCAACAAAAATGCTTTCCATAACTCCATTTGTATTAACTATTAAATACATAATTTCATCGTACTCAATATGAATAAACCATAATACAAATTTTCTCGAGTAGTTTTAACTTATAAGTCATGGCTGTACAACCTAAGTAGGGACAACAAGCTGGCTAAAAAGTATTGTCTTGATGCATCAAATTGATAGAGAACGTAGCCTCTTTAGTCCATGGCATAATTACTTCACCTCAGAGCAATTACTCGGGCCCACAGGCTCTCTCAAGCAATTAGAGATTGCCGCCACAGCTGCTTCAATAGATGCATCTTCCCCCTGCTTCAATGTTCGAATATAAAAAGAGCCCCAAGAACGTTGAGTTCAACAACACTCTTTCACCACGCAATGATAACATAGCTATATTGAGAAAAAGAATTCACCTTCTCTTTCCAATAGAAGATGTTGCCATACTTCCCTGCCAAGCGGCTCCAAAAAATACGCGGGATGTCCAAATCTACTGTAGCGCCAACATTGAAATTCAATATATTCCCTGGCAAACAATGGTCTCATGATAATTGTAGTACTTGAAGGCAGATATACCCAAAAGAAGAGGAAAACAACAACCAGAAAGGACGAACAACAACGATGGTAAAACACGTGTGTTTGATCTTTTACCAAATGTGGGATCAGCCACAAAGACAACAGTTCTGTCATCCACCTGCCAAAAATCTTTAATTGCCAAACCTGTGGGATACATTGGCGGTTTCACTATCAGGCTTGGTTCTGCAGTTAAGTAATCGTAGATTTGGAGGGTGGTGAATTTTAATCTGTACCAAGTTCTATATGGCAAACTATGTGATGACCACATAATACCTGGTGTTTCAGGATAGTTTTGAGCTAAAACTCTCAACTTGAATCCTGTATCCTTTTCAAGAGAAGCTATCTCTTGAGCTAGCCTTTTCTCCTATGGAAAAAATGAATAAGAATCATGCTTATCTATTTTACAAATGCATCCTTACTTAAAAGTTACAAGTCCATTTTTATTTTCTAACAAAGTAAGGAAAAAAATGGAAATGGACACGATAGGCGAAACAGACTCCAAATCATGACCTTAAAATATGTATACAGTAGTGAACTTCCAATGGGGGACCACCATACCTGGCCATCAGAGAGGAAGCCGGCAACATCAATGACAGTACTAAAATCCTTAGGGAGCAATTCTGGCTTGTTTACTCCAACTTTTGCCTCAGCCAGTCCAATTCCTACCGAGATCGTATTGTTTTATACTTCAGTTTTATAGTTTATTCAGTATAAAAGAAGGGGGAAAAATGACAATTATCATTGCGCAGTTTTAAAAATGCGAGACAGAATAGCTGCGTAACATCACAAAGCTAAATACCTCCAAGAAATAATCCAAGTGCGATGGCTCCTGACAGCACAGAATTGAAAGATTTCGCATGAATTTCGGAGATGCATCTCCTGGGGTCGGCTGATATTGGCGATACAGAAGGTTGGGGAGAGAGGCGAGACGACACCATCTTGGATAACGTCGGGACAATACGCGACTTACTTGGTGAGGGGAGAGCGAGAGATAGAGAGGAAGGTATCTGAAGAAACGCCATCATTTTCCTTCGCTTCCACCCCCGCGCCAGTTATAATTCGAGGATAATCAACAATCATCACTTATTGGCTACGTACGAGTCAAAGCACGTGTGTAATTCTTTTCACGGTATGTGTTATTGAGCAAAATAAATTTTAAAATATTATATAAAAAGTGTTCTAAATTTTAAATTTTTAAAATGTATCTTGAATTTTTAAATTCATATCAAATTAAATTTTATAGTTAATTTTTTTTAATGTCATTACCATTTATTTGTTAATTATGGCTGCAAACCATAGACTATTATATAAGTAGTGTCATGAACTCTAAATTTAAAATTCTCAGTAAATTACTCTCATCATTTATGTATAAAATGTTGATTATTATATAAATCAAATTAACTTCAGCATGGTTCATCGTGGTAAACATATCATTGGCCGTGGCAAACAACTCATAATTTTATGAAATGACATTTTTGTCTCTTTTTTATAATATTTTTTCAAACGATTGATATTTTATACTTTCGTATATTCTATAACTCTAAGTTAGTCTTATTTGGATAATGTTTGTTTATTTAATGTATAAAACTTGAGATTCCATTAGAAAAGAAGTTTAAATGTGAGAGGATTTTACTAATGATAGAAGTATGAGATATCTATCATTTGAAAAATATTACAAACAAAGGAGCAAAACATGTCATTTTCATAAAATTATAGATCGTTTGTCACGACCAATAATGCATTCACTGCAGCAGATCACGCTAAGATTAATTTGATTTAAATAATAGTCAACGTTTTATATATAAACAGTGAAAGTAATTTGTTCAAAATTTTAAAATTTAGATCTAAGATGCTACTCGCTTAATAATTTAGGGTCTATGATGCTAATTAATAAATGAACAATAACAACATTAAAAAAAATTAATAATAGGATTTAATTTGCTCTAAATCTGAAAGTTTAGAATTTATTTTATATATTTTAAAAGTTTAGCATTCGGGATGCTTTTTGCATGATACTTGAAGGTCTATTTTACTCATTAATCTATTTATTAATTATTAAGCGAATTCAGCTCAGGTCTCAGGGTGAATTTCTTTCTTCGGGAAAATGAAGATCTAATTTGTTAATATATTTTAAATTTAAATGCACAGATAGAATTGACTATCTTTGGATATACTATAACACATGCATTGAAAATCTGTATTGTCCAAATCCACACGTGGAACCATTTTATTATCATCTGTTTTCTTTTTTTTTATTTCACTTCTGTAATTATGCTCATTGACATCACTGTATTAACTTGAATGCATTTGTTTTAATCATAAATTTAATGAATGGTTAAAATAAAAAAGGTGAAAGGAAAATAATGATAAGAAAATAGAAAGATTCTGGCATTCGTCCAAACCCAACCTGTTTTATTTCGCATATTCGCGCTGAGTCAAATCTAATTCGGTAGCAAGAAAAGCCACTTTTTATTTTCTTTTTTGATTAATTGACCAAATATTACAAAACCTAAAATAAAATTACCGACAGTAACCATAAGGCTGAGGGAGGACCAAAGATTACCACCATACACTCGAGCTGCTATTAGGCATCTTCACAATCTTCGACCTACGGTGTGTTTCGATGCTGCAATTAATCGATTTTTTGGGCCCAAAAATCAATTAAAATAGAGTTTACCCAAACAATCAAGTTTTGTGATGATTAATTAGAGGCAATTAATCAAGTTTATCATAAGTTGAGGGAGACTGTTTCTCGTGGTGTGACTGCTGACGGCTGAGCTTATACATATTATGCCTGTTGCCTAATGCCTAATGCAACCTAGGCGTACTTGTTTCTGTCCTTAGTTGATCATTTGAGATGGAAAGTAAAATTTTATTTTTGACTTGCTTGACTATGTTCACACGCGCCACATATTTTTTATATTTTGCCATGACCTCTTAGGCTAGTTCTTTGACTTTTATCAGAACCTTGATCACAGAATGGAAAAAGTACTGGCATGGACTCCAAAAAAAGAGAATTGCAAATGCAATTTAGATGGTTCCAAACAAATTTCTTTATATCAATCAAGTTATATTTTTGGCCAAAAAAAAAATCAAGTTATATTTTATTTCTTATTATGTTCTGTCAGCATTATGTTAATCTGTTATCAATAATTCATCAATAATTTAATTTTAAAAAATAATATCCTTTATAATAATTTATACAATTAAAATTAATTTTGATTAAATCATTCAAACATTTTTAATTTTATTAAAATTAATTTTACAAAAATAATATTCAAACAAATTGTGTTATAATATAATTAATTATAATTAAAATCAACTATATTAATCAATTATTTTTATAATCAATTATATCCAACTAAAATTTAAATACGCTATAATCTTCCATCATGAGGCAGTGAGGCACGATGCACTGAGGCACCACTTCGTCGTCCCGTCCAAAATCCAAATGAGACTCGAAACCTCCATCACAAGAAATCATTACCTCCATCGGGAGGGATCTGAAAAAATATCCACTCTTTGATCCAGTGTTTTCAGAACTGGACCGGACATTGAACCGGAAAAGTCAGCGGTTCACGGTTCGCATGGTTCAACCGGTTGGACCAATGGTCCAACCGGTGACGTAATAATTAAATTAAAAAAAATTATATATGTATATAATAATTTAAATATAAAAAATACATATAAAATTGCTATTTAACTTAAAAAACTTAAATATTTTAAGTTTATTATGACTTAACAAGCTATATGATACACTATAATATCAAATGATTAAAAAAATTAGTCATTTTTTTAAAAAAATTTGATAAAAAATAAAAAAAAAGTTTTTTTTTGAACAGTCCGGTTTTTGAAAACCGGATCCGGTTCCCGGTCCGACTGCCGGTTCGAAACGGTTCAACCCGGATCAACTCTGAAAACGGTTTTTTCTTTTGAACCAGACCGGTCGACGGTCCGACCAGTCCGACCGGCCGGTCCGGTCCGGTTTTCAAAATAGTGCTTTGATCTTACTGTTTGGAAATATTCCAAACAAGTTTTCAGGAAGTTGATAAGCTTGCTTCGCCGCTTTTTTCTCGTTTTGGTTTCCAGAACTCCATAAATCATTAGGAAGTCAATAGAGGCATCAAACTAAGTAAACCGTCAAAAAATTTATACAGAACATATAACCCAAGCAGGCACCGATGAAACGAAAGTAATGAAAGCTTTGTTTCAACCACACGAAGGAAATAGAGTTTCACCCAGATAGACAGGTTGCTTTCATTTTAGACATCCACATGATATACTTTCAACCTCATTAAATCATGTGCATTGTCAAAGTCCAGGCTAAATTTTCATGAAGGGTAAAATAATTGTTTCAAAATAACAAGGATAAGTGGGCAGTGCAGAAATATTAGAATGAAGCTACAATGGAAACTGCAAAATCTCTTACATCAGTCATAAATATCGAGTGCCATAATGATAATTGCCAAATGCACAACCAAATGTTTCAAAACTGCAAACGAGGTTTTTCTTCTTCATGAGAAAAGATGAAGTTACGTGCTCGATCCAAAAATCTTTAATGTCTCAACTTCACATCCATTTCCACAGGAAATACCTTCCCCCTATGGTTGAAGATCATGAAATCCAGGTTGGCAGGCAAAGAAACAATCCTGCATCCAAAAACGCGCTTTCTCTGATGATTATGATCCAAGTAATTTTATGGCCAAAAATATTGCCAGCAGATTAAAAAAAATCATTATATTATGAAGCTCTGTAACTTGAGTAGGACTATAGCACGGCAGAAAACAAGTTTTTTAAACAGCGCATTCCTTCGACAACAGATAATCATAATAGAAATATAGAGGTGAAGGAACAAACATGCATCCAAGAAGATTGATGCTGTAATGATTATGATCCAAGCAACTATCTAGCAAAACATATCTTCAGTAGAGTGGAAAATTATGAAGTTCTGTCACTTCACCGTCAGCAAGCACAACTAAGGAAAGCAACAACTCTTCCAAACAGAAAATTCGTTTGACAACAGATAAAGATATTGAAGTGGTCATGCACTCCCTCATATATAATATTTTATATCATCAACTGTATCAGCCGCTAATGAATTAAATCCACAGTAACAATTGAGTAGCAAAGAAAGATCAATGGCTAAATGGGTATAAGAATAGTGTAGAAAAGTTTTGGAGCATATTAAGCACCGAGCAAGCAAACCATGCCTGCATGAAGCCTAATGGTTCAACCAGTAGCCTTTTGATCTGATATACTTGCCACGTGGAGAAACAGTCAAAAGTCCGCCCAACTTTTTTTTCTTAACATTCAGCAGATTCATCAATCCTGCTTTTCAGCATCTGACCAACAGATCGTAAATGAATATTTCACAGATGTAGTTTCTTGGGAGTGATGAATCATGAGAATAGTACAAATGAATTTGCCAATCCTAATAGCTTAGCATCTAACCAGTAGATTACAAACAAAGAACTTGGTATCGGTAACTTTATGGTCCTGTAGCAAGTTAATGGGGTCCTGTCAATGTAAATATGACAGTTCAGTCTGATTTTCCAACCTTAGAAGCTCCATTATTCATTTTACACCATTAACTTCATACAGAGTGGCAGGAATCAGTGAGTTAGCTGGTCTAGATGAACAAGGGAGAATCCAAATGGAACAATCGAAAATTATCACATGCCAGATGTGCTAGCAATTCATTCTTCACATTTGAATTTTGAGATTAAAACAATGTAATCTTATTCAGAGATATCAAAGTGTCAAACTGCCAATGTTCTTTATCATCATTACCTAAGTTTCACCAAGAAATATTATTTATACCTTGATTGCACTCCTAAGAAGCAAGGAAGGTAAAGTTACCTTTAAACATATTATGTAAAATAAAAAATAAAAAAAATCTATTTTATCTATGTGTTATCAGTCCTTTTTATCAACTCCGTTCTAAAACAAAATGACCTATAATAAGCAGACCATATGAATGTAGATCAAACTTACAAGGACAATGTGAAGATTCAAGGAGAGGCTAAGGACAACTTACATCACGCATATAGAACAAGAGCAATCCAGCTTCATAAACTATAGCACAACTTAACTTAGATGTATCGCTATTTGAAGTTAGATTTTTCAGTTTAATTGACCTCTAACACCACTCCTACTACCTTTTATGTGTTTTCTACTTCCATTCCTTAATGGTTTGACCCTTCTCAGCCAAGCAAAGCCTAATACAGAATGACTAACAACATAAGTCAATCAAGGAAGACCAATCAAAAAAGAACAGGAACAGTACGGATCCAGAGCAATTTACGTTAAGTTTACACCTCAACTCTCAGAAATCAACACGGAATCATTCCCATTGTCAGGCCACGTTTACAATGACCTCTTGCTAACGTTTTTTCGGTTAGATGACATAATTAATTCAACTAAAAGGATATTTTTAAGTAAATTTATTAATTTATCATCCAGATTGAGAAACAAGGAGTTACCTGTTCTCTTCGGAGTCTGGATGTATGGACAAAAACATCCCTGGCACAGCCAGTGCAGCCCACATACAGAGCACTAATCCTAGAAACAACTCAACAACCACCTGCATTCATTCAAAAATCCAGATGCACGGACACTGAGAACCCACAGACATGCATCAAAACCATGTTTTTCAAGCAATATTATGGGAAAATACTCACGTTCATTGGAGGTCCCGAAAACTCTTCCTCCGTAATCTTCAACAAACCCCTATCTGCAATCCAATCAAACCGGAATCACATATGCAGGCGTAAATCCCAATATTTTACCAACCTATTGAAGTTTACAAAAAGCAACGAGCATATAAAAGAATAAGTAATTTCTCAGTTAGATCAAATTCACGTGTCCTACAGCATACATTGGATTGTGGCATAAGCAGCGTGAAATAGAATGAGCACTCCTAAGACGCCGATCCCAAAACCCAAGCCCATATTTCAGAAGATCCTTCGGTGCTTTGCGAATTCAGAGATTGATGAATCGCGGGTCGCAGGCCCTCGATGAAGCAGGGATTGTCTCCGCCGATTTGCAACAATAGCACCGAGAAACTGCCGATTTGAATTGGAAAAATGACATTTAAGTACCCCCCCTAACAAGATTAATTGCACTTAACTATCTCGAAATTTTGGAAAGATAAATTTTTAGACAATTTTCCAAATTTTTAACAGTCAATCAGGTCAATGTTTTGATGAGGTTTGTTCAATGTTGATCATTTATTAAACAACTATGATTAGGAAAAAGTTACAACTTTGCTCCAGAAGCTTTTTCCTCCTTAAGTGGTCTTTTAAACTTTCAATCAAAGATTTTAAAATCGTACCAAATATTAAATTAAAAAAATCAGTGATTTATAATTCACATAATCTAACTAAATTGAATCAATAATTAAATCAATAATGTAAAAAATAAATTTAAAAAATTAGATATGTATATAAGAATCTAAATATAAAAAATAAATATGAAATTGCTATTTAACTTAAAAATAAAATAAAATATTTTAAATTTATCATGACTTAACAAGTCAAATGATACAATATAATTAAAAAAATTGATAAAAAAAGGTTTTTTTTAACATTTTAATTTTTAAAAATCGGATCTAGTTTTAGGTCCAATCATTGATCCAAAGCAGTCAAATCCAATCTAATTTTCTAAGACCAAGCCGTTAGCCTAATTGAGTTAACAGTTCAGCCGTCTGATTCGATTTGATTTTTTAATCATTGCTTTTAGTAGACACATTGTTTTTTTTTAATCAATATTCAAATTAAAAGACTGATCTAACAGCTCAATATAAATGTTAAAAAAAAAATCTTGTTAGTTTCTAATTAGATACCCTGCTTGTGGTTGCCTCAGCACGAACCCAATTCCCGAATCCTGCTTGGGCATTCTATGGATCACGAACAAGTCCCATATGTCCATAGGTAGAGATACATTTGGACTTACCGATGTGGATATTTTCCCACAAAAAAAGAAATTTCCTGATTTACTTTTATTAAATGCATCATTTAAAAAAAAAAAAGGGCTGTCTCATATGTAACCTTTTACTCATGAAATGATAAAAAATTAAAATAAAGTAATTAATGATCAATCTTATATCATGCCTCCTGACTTATAAAGAGAACCACCAATTTCTTGTAGAAATAACTTATGACCAAAATAGTAAAAAATATTTTCTCCAATCCTTAACATAAAATAAACCTTCAATTTTTTTTAATATAACACAAAGTTAGAGCAATCAATGTATTCTTTTCAATTTTAAATTTATTTATTTATTATTATTTAAATTGATGGACAACAATTTATTATAATATTTACTGTAAAGAAGGGCAAAATAAAAAACTTACATTTTTTTAATAAATTTACAAATATAACTATCATTTTATAATAAATGTAAAATTAATTAAATTTGTCTTATATTAATAACTAGAGGAGTACAATTATATTAAATGAAATAAAACAGAGTCATTGCTTCTTCAGCTCATGAATAATAACTTTTATATATACTTTGATTTGATTGATTTATTATATAGTACTGGCGTGGTGCTTAGATTTTATGCTTGGGTTATTAAAAAAGAAAAAGAAAATACGGTTTGTATTTCATTAAAACTGGTTGATTATCAGTCATTCAATTCAATGTTTTATGCAGGGAGTATAGCTGGTGTTTAGATTTTATGCTTTTGTGATTATTATTATTCTTATTGTTAATGGTCATTTGAGTGCGTGTAAATTTCACGTAATCCGGTAAAAAGGGAGGGATTATTATGAAATTCTACCCAAGAGTTTCAATTACCTAAAGTCTTAGTGTAATATATAAATTATTACAGAGTCTCAAATTTCTATACAATTACAAAAATACCCTCATGTTATTTTATTTTTAAAAAATATAATCAATTTACCACCATTGTCGAAACTCCGGCCGGTATCCGCCGAACACCTCTTGTAATGATTATTAGTCCTTATAAACCAAGAACTTAAATAAATATTATGTTAATGAAAGAATTAAACCCATGAAATTAATTACCATAGCATAAAAAAATTTAAAATAATTTCCTATATTTACTTTTTAAGGTAATTATTGGACAATTTATAATAATAGTATAAAATGTTAAATATATAACTTATGTCAACTTGAGCAAAGTAAAATGACAATTTGAATATAAAAAAAAATAACAACTTAAATTTAAGTAAATAGCAATTCAGATATATGAAAATAACAAATTAAAAAAAGGAAAATGATGAGTGTCAGAAGATAACAACTTGAGCCTAAGTAAACAATAATCCTAATATATAAAATGACAATTTGAATATTAAGAAATGACAACTTGAATTTAAGTAAATAATAATTTAACAATGCATGCATAAGAAAATGATAACTTTTAAAAATAAAATGATAATTTTGGTATTAGAAAATAACAACTTGGAGTTCGGGTAAATAACAACTTATACTAAATTTATGAGTGGCTAATGGTAGAAGAAAAGCAAGTAAAGTAGGGGTTTGAGGATGCAAGATGTTGAATAGGTCTATGACGAGGAAGTCCTTAAAGACATGGCCACTAATTACTTTGGTAATCTTTTCTCAGAAGAGAATAATTCTCAACTAACACTCAATACTAGGGTCACTTACCCAAACCTCAAGGATAACATATTGTAGAAGTTTGAACTTGATCTAGGAGATGATGAAATTTTTTTAAGCTCTTCAGTCGATGGGAACTTTAGGCTTTATTTGATTCAAGAGGAGACAGAGGGAGGGAAGGAAAGCGAAGGGGATAGGAGGGAATGGAGGAGAAGGGAGGTAAGGGAAAATGAGGGGGGAGGGGAGGGGGACATTCCCCTAATTTGGGGAGGAGGTTTTAGAGGGGAAGGAGCTCCCCTCCCCTTGTTTAGTAAGGTGAAAGGGAGGGAAGGTTTTTTAAAAATTTTTCTCCCCTCCCCTCCAACCAAACAGGCCTTTAAAGTCTCCAAGTCTTAATGGGTTTAGTGCCATATTTTATTAAAGTTGATGGCAATTAGTAGGTCATTTAGTTGCATCCTATGTCAAAGATTTGTTCAAAAATCCTTATAAAATTAGAGATATCAATAACATTTAACCGGTTCTCATCCCAAAAAAGGATCCCTTGAAATAATTGAGGGATCTTTGTCTTACTAGCCTATATAGTGATCTTTAAATTTTTGACTGAGGTGGTTAAAAACATTGTGAAACTCTTTCTATTAGAGTTTATTACCCCAGACTAGTATAGCGTTGTATTGGACAGACATAGTTCTGGCAATATGATTGTAGCCCAGGAGGTCATCCATTCTATACGAACTATAAAAGGAAAGAGAGGCTTTTTGGCAATAAAATTTGATTTGGAGAAGGCGTGTGTTCGTTTGAATTTGTGGTTTTTTGACTAACTACTAATAGAATGTTAGCTTTCCTATTCACATAGTGGAGATTCTTAGGCAATGTATTTTGATGACTTTTATGCAATTGCTTTGGAATATAAATAAATCCAACACCTTTTTTTTCCTTCAAGGGGAATTCGACAATGTGATTCGATGTCTCTCCATCTAGTTGTCATCAGTGGGTTATTCTGTTATATCCTATGTCAAATATTTGTTCAAAAATCCTTTTAAAATCAAAGATATCAATATCACTTATCTTGTCCTTGTTTTAGAAATGGATCCCTTAAAAGAATTAAGGGATCTTTATCCTATTAGCTTGTGTAATGTGATCTTCAAAATGTTAACTAAGGTGATTAACAATAGAATGAAACTCTTTCTACTAGAGTTAGTTGCCTTGAATTAGTGTAGCTTTGTACTAGGTAGATATAGTTTTGACAATATTATTGTAACCTAGGAGGTTATCCATTCTATATAGACTATGAAAGGAAAGAGAAGATTGATGACAATCAAAATTGATTTAGATAAGGCATGTATTGTTTGAATTGGGGTTTTTTGATTAACTACTAACAGAATATTAACTTTCTTGCTCACATGGTAGCGATTATTCGACAATATGTTTTGGCAACTTCTATGCAGTTACTTTGGAATGAGAATAAGTCCAACACCTTTTTTCCTTTGAGGGGAATCTAACAAGGTAATCCAATTAGTAGAAATTGCCCCTAATTTCTCACTCATTTTGTGCAGATGATATTATTCTTTTGGCTAAGGCGTCTATTAGTTAGGTTGATATGATTAACAACTACCTAAAGAAGTTCTGTGATAGTTCAAGGCATAACACCAGGCGTGAAGAGTTAAGCTCCTTGTTGGGCTTTACTTGAAGGGCCAATTTAGGTAAATATCTCAGGGTGCAACTTTACTCAGAGCTTGTAGGAAATGATACATTTACAAAGGTAGTAGACAAAGTTAAAAGAACATCTAGCCAGTTGGAGACTAACTCTCTCTACTTGGATGGCAGGACTAACACTTGTTTAAGACATCACTCAGGTTATTCCTACGTATACTATTTGGACAACTTTTCTCCCTATTCATATATGTGATGTACTAGACTAAAAGAATAAAGAGTTCATTTAGGGAATCACAGAGACAAGGTAAAGAGTTCTCCTAGTTTCTTAGAGGTGTATAAGGGTAAGAGTGATAGTGGTTTGGGAATTAGGCATGCTCAATTCCAAAACCAAGCAAATCTCATAAAGCTAGGATGGAATCTTATAAAGAAGTGAGATGCTATGTGGGTTAAGGTTGTGAGAGAAAAATATAAATATGACAACAACTTGATCCCTTCTAATTGTAAAACTCAGTCCAGCTGGAATTAAATTTACTTAGGATAAAGTTAAGAAAGCAATAGAGGGAGTTGATAGTAAGTAAGGCGTGAGGTAGAAGTGGGAGAAGCATAGTGAATTCTCTATTAAATCATCCTATAACTCATTAAGGCAGGAGGAAATGATAAGTGACTAGACTTGGGATAAAATTTGGAAACTACAGGTACCTTAGAGATGCTGTAAGTTCATATGGCTAGTGTAACATGATAAGATGTTAACTAGTATGACGAAGAAGAAATGGGGTATGCCTATTAATGGAATGTGCCATGTTTGTATAGATAAATTAGAAGACAATATGCATATTTTTTGTGATTTTCTTTAAGCTTTTACTTATTAGTGTCAAGTAGTCCTACTTGAGAAACACACTATGTTTTTTAACATAGAGTAGCGTTGATGGCTTGTTGGCTAAAGTGGAATATTAAAAGTATTTCAAGGGGGAAGAAGGCCAAGTGGAGTGCACTGTAACATTTTGAAAATTAATTCCTTGATTAATTAAATTAATAAAGGGTGATTATGAAAATTTAAGCATAATTGGGTTTGAGAATAGTTAGAGAGGGCTAATGGATTTGTTGAGTTTTTATCTACAATATTTAGATCAAGTTTAGAGTTGTATTGGGCCATCTATGCCTAATTAGAGGATTAAACTTTAGTAGTTTTTTCTTTACCATCTGCCACGATGGACGAGCTATATGCCAGAATATTTGATGGCACATTTTTTGAAATTTAAACAGGGCGAAGAACATGAAAGAAACAAAGGAGAAAAGAATAAGAGAAGAGAGAGCTCTTGTCTTTATTTGTTAGGGTTTGGTGTTGCAGCTACTTAGGAATATTTTAGGGCCTCTAACCACCTAGGGTAAGTCTCCAATGTCCTTCCCTTCTTTCCTCTTCCTTTTTAGCTAGTTTTTTAGTTAGGTTTTGGTTGAGGAAGAATATTTTCAGACCTATGGGGCCTTAGGTCTAAGTTCATTAGTTTAAATGAAATTAATAAGAGTTATTTATACTATCTACTCTTATGTTTGATAGTATTATGCATCCATAAGCTATGGCCTTCATTTTTAGAAAAAATTGTGAATTTAAAGGATGAGTTAAAGTTGTTAGGAGCCATTAATGTTGGTAGCTGAGTTGGAGGAAGAAGGAAGCTAAATAGAGTTAATGGGAGTTAGTGTACCCATTAGTTGCGAATAAACCTAAGGGCTTGGGTTTTTGGGTAATTAAAGTGTAGAATTAGAGCTATAGGCCAAACAAGTTGCAACCTAAATATAGAATTACAATAAGTAAAATGACAAGAAGCTAGGTATAGAAAGCTCTTAGCCATGTGTAGACTATATGGACTCCATCTCCATCTTGCTCCTAGGAATCTTCCTTGACCTCTAGCATTCTATCTTCATTATTGAACTCTCTAAGCTCCTCGTCAATTGGATGAAATAGTGACTCCTTCAATGGTTGATTCGAGCCTTCAATCCTTAAGTAAATAGGAGGGATTTGATGAGAATTGTGAGGGGAAAAGGATGAGAGTGGTCTTATGTGATTTGATGGAGGAATGAGAGATATATGAATGGTTGACTAGAAAAATTTGATGAATAGGTGAGAAAGTGAGAAAACATGTTTGAAGAAGATAAAATTGAGAGAAATCTAAATAGGAGTAATGAGACACAAAATTAGCTCGAGAGAAAATAAAGGAAAGTGTAAGAAACTTTGCAAGTAGTTATGATCTTCCAATAAGAAGTGGTTTGGTTGAAACTAACTTAACGTTTTAGGGGAAAATAATAATAATTCCTATGTGATCTTCCAATCCAATGCAATGCACCTTTTCTTACTTAACTTTCACCCTTATGAGTCTTCATTTCATACCACTCTTGCATTTTAAAAGCCTCTTTAACTTGCCTTAAAATATGTCTTAATATCTCACATTAATTCACCTATGTCACAATTTAATTAAATAGTCAATTCATCGTAGTATGACATTTATTTAATTAGACTAACATAAAAAATATTTAATTAGATCTACGTATTAAAATGATTAAGGGAATGTGAATAAAAAAGCATAACAGGATATAAGTGTAGAAATACACATACTCAAATAAAAACGTAAAGCTAAGTGAAAACCCCTTAAAGAAACAACCTTAAAGTATGTCTTTTCTTAATAACTTCTGACCTACGATGAATTAATAAAAACTAATTTGACCAATTATCCCAACATATTAAAATATATAATTCTAATGCTTAACCTCACAATTGTGAAAAAGTGCATATAACCTTTAGAATTAGGCAAATACGTATAATAGATATAATGTTTACATTAACATTGAAAAAAAAAAAATCATCTTAATTAAAAGACACAATAGTAATTGAGAGTCATTCAACTTATAAACTTACCTAAATAATAGCCTAGCTCAATTATGTAAAATAAAACCTTTTAAAATGTTAGGATCCAAAAAACCCTTCAAAGATATATTTAAACTCAAAATTATATATAAGCACAACGAAAGCAAGGAAAATATAAAATCACAACACTTTAGCAAATTGGGGTGGGGGGGAAGTCATTTTTCGCCGATACAAATGCATATGTCATAAATTGTGTGCCATACATTGTTTACAAAATTGGACCGGACTGGCTAGTCAAATCAATGAACAGGCAACTTGGCTATATATCTAGTCTAGTTTTCCTATTTTGATGTGGAACTAGCTGACCCGAGTTAGCCTAGTGACTCAGATGAACCTATCTAACCCTATAGCTTAGGCAGTTTGGACAGGTTGAATTATTTAGGCCAGAAATATTGAAAAAAAAACACAAAAATCAACTCTATCATTCGCTCCTCCTTAACTATTGCTCCTGTCCTATCATCCATCATCCCTGAGTAATGAGCTCTTTTTGAGCTTTATTTGGGCTTCTTGCCATTCTCGTGTGTGAACTTCATGGGTTTTGCTCGTCTTTAACCTTCAATAATTGCTTTCCCTCCTTCCCTCCCTCCCTACATGATTCAGCCCAAGGTGGAGCTTCTCTCTCCCCCTCCCCACTTGATTCAGGTGGAGTAGCTTCTTTGTCCTCCTCCTTTTGGCGTTTTTTGGTTCTCTGTGCTTCCTCCTTCCATTAAGGCTTATAGAGAGATGAAATGATTGAGGCTACACTTTAATGCTATTGAAATAACAAGGGGCCACAATAGTTTTATTAAATTTTTTATTAAAATGAGGTGTTAGATGCATCAATTCATCTCATCTCCTATAATAGCCTATTTGCATTTTGTGGCTTTCACTACTCTCTATATACCTCACATATTTCAATTTTTTTAATTGAAATTATATACTCAATTATTTACATGTATTTTTTTATTAATTTTTAACCTATAATTTTTAATTTTTATTTCATTTTTAATTATATATTTATATCTTATTATTATTTTTGTCACTTTAATTTTATTATCACACAAAATTTTGTTTACTGTTAAAATTATTGTCGTATGTTATATAAGATGTTAAATCTGAGATATTGATGGGTGTGTTGAGGATTAATGAATTTTTATTTGAATTATATTATTTTATTATGATCGGTTTGACTATAGTTTAACCCTCAATTGAACCCTTAATCCTTGACCTCTAGTCTTAACCAATTCAATTACTAGTTTCATTTTCAATACCTTGGTCCCATATGTCGCCAATTTTTAGCTTTGTGTCATATGTCACGACATCTAAACCTACGCCATGGTGTACGTGACAATCTCTATTATTGTGACAGCTCACTAAAAGAAAACATTTAACATGCGTCATTTCTACATATGATGTTCGATTAGAATGATTTAAACATTTGCATGTAACTTCTTTCATAATCTAATTGATGACACAAGTTTTACTTCAATAAGATATTTCATTTGAAAATTGGACACCCAAATTTAAAATGACTACTTCATGTCTTTTTCCAACAATTGAGCGTCTATTGCCAAACTCTTATCATTAGTCACCTCTGGAGCCTCAACCACATCTAATAGACTAAAACACACTTGATTAAATAATTACATCAACGATCATGTGTTTTAAATTAAATTTGATCGCTCAAACGTCTTTTTTTCTCACAAAATTTGGCCATATTATATATTTACACATAATCAATTCCCTTGGCCAAATTCTATACATTACATCAAAACATATATTTTAACATGCACTTATACTATAATCTTAGCCATCTAACCACATTTACCACAAATTCATAATACATGGCTAAGATACACAATATATCATTTTACACAAGTGCAACTAACACACACACACACGCGCATGCATTCTTAATAGACAACTTATGAACATATGTATGTATACAAATTCATCACATGCATGGTTTAAGTGTTGGGGTAACAAGGGTGGTATTGCATACATGATTCATAGTTAGTCATTGGGCTTTTCGAAAGTGTAGGAATGATCAAATCTTTAAAGGAAGATCAACCAACATAGATCTACCAAGTTGTCATTTTCATATATTTCAAGTTGTTATTTTTCTTTGCTAAATTGTAATTTTCTTTTGTCAAATTATCATTTTTGTATATTCAAGTTGTTATTTTTCTTTGTCAATGTCCTCTGTGAAGTTGTCATTTTCATATATTTCAATTGTTATTCATTTAAATTCATGTTATTTTATGATACCCAAGCTATCACAATTCTTTCTCAAATTGTCATTTCATTTTCATTTGTCGGGTTATTAATTTTCTATACTCAAATTGTTATTTACTTAAATCTAGATTGTTATTTTTTGGTATTCAAGCTGTGGTTTTCTTTTATCAAGTTATCATTCTTGTATATCCAAATTGTCATTTTCGTATACACCTGCCAATTTTCACAGCTTGTGAGACTATTACAATTCCTAGAAGTGGAGATAAATTAAATTATCTCCTGATCCATCAAATTTATGGTAATGATTTCCTTCGTTTCTTGGAACCGTGGAGTAGATTTAGAAGGTAGTCCATGAAGTTTCGAAAATTGTCCCACGAGCTGCATGCAACTATAAAGGATATTTCCCTAACAATATTATCAATAACCAAAATGAATATTATGTAGCGGGCAGCCACGTGTCTATCTTCTTTCTTCTCCTTGTTTTTCTTGACTAAGAATCCACTCAATGAAAATGTTGAAGGAAATTCAACGAGCCTCTTCCCAGGGAAACTCCACTGTACACGTGGCTCCTTCCACCGCAATACCTGTTGACGAGTACCTTCCACCCAAAACAAAACCGAAGGTCATTTAAACGTTAAATAAATCAAGAGCTGATTTTTTTTTTTTTTACATTTTTTCTCACGTCCGAAAATGATCAACATAGGCAATTTATAAGATAACCCGCACACACATACAATTTATACCACATTACATAATATTCAGGTCAGTGAATTGTATATACAATTTAACTAAGAAATGTATTTAATTTCTCTCAGTCTTACTTAAGCCCTTTAACGCGATAGATCGGGGAAAATTTAGGACTATTTTAAATCAGCCCCTGTCTTCACTGATTGTTATTGAAAAGCTAGCAAATTATGAAAAAAAATCACATATATCCCAATAATTTGCGCAAGTTTAAATGAGATCCAAAATAAGTTATGAGGAAAAAAAGATACACGAAATTAGTCAATTTGAGGTAAAAATATGAATGAGAATACACATTAAATGATAACCTTTCTTGTATGTGCAGGCTAAAATTTCAACAAAAATAAATCATATTAATCATTTTTTACATAATCACAAAATATCAAATATAATCTATTCATTTTTATGCAAATGTCCAAACATTTTGCAATTGAAAGCATTTCATCAAGAAAAATATATAACGCGAAGCTATGCATAAAAAAATCAGTCAAGCACACATTTGAGAATCAAATTGAACAATAAGTTTACTAAGCAAGAATATTAACTCACTTATCACAGCAACTAACGTAGATTGAATTTGGCAAAAGATATTAATCTCTTATAATACAATAAATTAACATTTAAATTTCTGTTAAAGAAGATGTTTATATTTAATGTATGATTGTGCTTTGCAAAGTAATGCACGATTATGCTTTGAAGAGGATAGATTTTAATCAAAAATAATTTGAGCAATTAAAAAAAACTCTTACCACAACAATTACGCCGGTGTAGGCCCGAAAATGCTAAAATTAGTGCCTTGTTAATGTGTAAGAATTGGGATTGGAGAAATAAAGGTTCTTGTATGGTATTCAAGGGCACAACTCTCTTATGGACTGACCGCAGAAAACTGTGGAACGCACTTCCATCTTTTTCACTCCCATCTTTACCCTCCAAGCCTCCGTGACCGTGACCTACTTCCTTTGCCTCTCACTCATACTTCTCTGACCACTCTCACCTGCGATGGCAACTAAGAGGGAGATAACGGCGATGAGCTCTGTTGACGACAATTGGGCCCAATGGCAGAGGTGACGGCGGCAACTCAATCTCCGGGCTGTCCTCAACTCTTGTCTTCCCCCTTCGTGAATTTTTTGTCTTTACTAGTGACTTTCTTAGAGAGTAAACGCCAAACGATGTTGCCTTGTTCCACCAAGTACTGTCCAGCATATCATTTTGAGTCATTCGATTTGGTCTTCGGAAACACTGAACTGAAGCAACCTGTGCTGGAAAAGAACAAGAAAGCAAAATCAAACGCCATAGCACAAGATAATGAAGCATAAAAAAACATCTTCTTTTAATTATTCTGGGTGTCAAATAAGTATAACCAAGAAATAAACGAACTTCTACTTTTCTCTCCTGTTCTTTGTGAACCAATTTCAGCCAACAAAGACATTGTTTTCATCTTCCAGGGTCTTTTGATCTTCTTCCTCGCTAATTCTTAAGCCCTAAAACCCAAGATCCGCCACTACCACGTTTCAATTGTTAGTGCTTCATTTCCTGCTCCTCGGCTGAAGATGGTGGATGGCGTGGAGGTGGCAGCGATGCTTGCTTTTGGACGAGAAAGACGATGGGATTTTTTTTTTAAAAAAAATTTAGGATATTTTGGTATCTTCAAAATATATTAAATATAATTTTTATTCCCCTCTTTTTATGTGCCAAAGCATATTTTCAGACCTCACTCGGGCCTATTTCCACTCCCACCCTCACTCCTATTTTCACCTCTGCTTTCACTTAAAATCACACAGAAGAAAGTAAATAGACGCTTGACTACCCTCTACAATCTACATATTCGTTTTGATTGTTGATATTATTATCGATGGTATTGTTAGGGAGATATTCTTTATAGGTGTACAGCTTGGAGGACAATTTTCGGAACGTCATGGGCTACCTTTTAAACCTACTCCATGGAATGGTATTTTTGAACAAATCAAGCTTCCATGACGGACCCGAGTGGCTCCAACACAAGAGATGTTCTTACACTGGCAAACTTGCCAAGTTTCGCATGCGTAATGGTGCTCTACTGGCTTTACAAGGTTATTGTATAAAAAGTGAGTTTTTTTTTTTTTTTTCAGATGAACTCTGTTATCATTTTTTTTTTTGTGTGGTGTTATTTGATGTTTTTTGTAACAGGTAGTGGGAAGTTAGCAGGTCATGATGAGAGTTCTATTAACCATAGGGTAATATACTGTTGCTCCCTTTTGGTGCTTCAGCATTGTATTCTAATGTTTCAAAAGGTTGGGCTGCCTTGTTCTAAGATTCAGTTTCTGATAATAAATGCCAAAAAAGAAAAGAAGAAAAAACTATTGAAATTTGTTACTATAAAAGAAATTCCTGCTGACAAATACTTGCTATTAAGTTTCTATCTTGTCTTTCTAATCATGCCTGCTGGTCAGAACTATCCAGACTTCTCTTAAGAAAGACGTTCTGTCTGAAGTTCAAAGTTATCCTCGAGATTGAATGATTACATGATTATATTTTCTGAATCCCTTTATCTATAAAGGAAGAAAATGATTGAGGATTTACTATGCTTTTAGCCTATTTACTTAACATCTATAGTTATTAATTATTCCAAGTTCAAAATATCGGAAGGAAATTAATGGGAAGTAAGAACTTATGAGTGGCATTGTGGCAACCCTAGCCGTTTCTTTAGTTTATATGAGATTTGGGCATCTACGCACTTTCTTAACGTGATCTATCATCATCCTAATGTTTCTAGAAGAGAATGCCATTGAATTTAATGGTTTTTTCCACAAAAGTATAAATACATGCTTTTTTCCCAATTACATGCTGGAAGTAAAGCATCATTGGGACTAATTTCCTACGTCCCTGATATTATAGTTAGCAATTATTTTGAGTATTTGTGATGCTGAAGAATGTTGGCCTCTTTCTTCATGACATTGTTTCATGAATGAATGTGTTACTTATTGTCATTAAATTTTCTTGTTCTTCTGACATAAGCATTTTATGGTTTTGCTGTTAGATTTATACTCATAACGGTGGGAAGTTAAATGTCTTTCCTCATATACAAACTCTTAGAGAATTTCCTAAGAAAGAACTTTCTGCAAAAGTTGTCATGGTTAGATTTGATTCTAACATTTTAATCAAGCAGCATGAGCAACAGCCTCAATCAGTTTCTAATGCATTGCGAACAATTAAGTATTTACATGAAGCTGGGGCAAAAGTAATTCTGGTCAGTGATTGGGATACAGATTCACAACTTTCTCACAGAGAGTCCATTGCCGGTACATGTACATTCTACCCTTGTTTTAGTTGCCAGAGTGTGAGGTTGGCTATTAAATAAATGATTAAAACAACCCGCCTTTATCTAATGAAAGGAAAGAAGGAAGGAAATTAATTATAAAATGGGTCTTGGAAATAAAAAAGAGGTTTCTTTTATAAAAAGGGAGCTTCCATAGTTGATAATTGATGATGATTTCTATACTTCAGATTTCTTGTCAGAAGTTCTCCAGATACAAATTCTTCCGCTGCAGAACATATCTTCTAAGAAGCTATCAAAGATTGAAGGCCCCAAGAAACCAGATATCCTTCTTGTTGAGAATCTTTCTAATTTTAAAGAGGAGTTTGCCAATTGTTTGGAGTTTGCTAAAGAATTATCATCAGGAGTCGATATCTTTGTTAATGACTCCTTCTCTCAATCTCATAGAGTTCTAGCATCAACTGTTGGTGTGACCCGCTTCTGCTACGCCTGTATGGCTGGTTTTCACTTCGAAGAAAGCCTATGTCTGCTGAAAAAGGTCACAGAGGCCACCAAGAAACCATATGTTGCAATTGTACGTCTCTTCTGCTGTGACTGCATTGGTACTAGAACTATCAGCACCATACAAGATAATTTAAAGTTCATATTGACGATATTAGTCTCTTCTTTCTCATAAATCCAGATAGGAGGTGGTGATTTCTACAATAAAGCAGCTGCTTTCCGATTTTTAACGTCCAGATGCCAGGGGTTGGTGTTTGTTGGAATGATGTCATTTCAAATAATGCATGCATTAGGAGTCTCAGTTCCTCTTGGTCTGGTGGACCTTAAGGCTTGTGATGAAGCTCTACATATAGTTCAACTTGCTCAAGATAGAAATATGCAGATTCTGTATCCAAAAGACTTTTGGTGCAGGAATAAAAGCAATCCAAAGCAACTGCAAGCATTTCCTTCTCACAGCATTTTGGATGGTGAGCTTTTCAAACCTCTGTTACTTTGGTTTGTGAAATAGAGTGTGGGCATATTTTCTATAACAATTTCATTGTGTAGAAATTACTGATACTTTTGAAATACAATAGCAGTGAAACAACCAAAACCGTGCTGTCCCAGTAGCATTGGTTGTCCACTCGAGATGCTTGCTGGTGCAATTATTATTGTACACACAAGATTATCAATCCAATATTTTGCTAAATTCCGGCTGCATTGAATTATGTCAGAATTATAAAATTGTTTGTTATCTTCCTAAGTTTAAATTGATGGCAAATCTCCATAGTGCTTTGCAGTGCATTCTGAGAATCAAACTATGATAACGGTAGTTGCGTCCTTCAAGGTCCTTGTGACCTTTGTTCTGATATTTTTCAGTGAATTTTTCCCCATAACTAATTGACAAATATAAGTACTAACTGTATTTGAATCTTTGAAGATATAAAGTTCTAATAATTTTTATATTTTCTTCAAGTATATATGTTATACAAATAATAGTCTTCCATTAGTGGTTGAGTGTAGACACTCCATTTTGTTTGGGCCCCTGCCCAAAAAAAAAAAGGAAAAACAAAAAAGAAAAAAAGCCTTTTTTTTAATAAATTACAAAAAAAGAAAAAGAAAAATCCCCCGCGATTCTGTTCTTGCAATTAAAGTCCCCTTTTCAATGACAAAAATTAAAAAAAAATTAAGTGAAAAAATCCCCTTTGATTTCTTTCTAGCAAACCAGGTTGCCAAAGTTGTCTAAAATGCTCCCTACTAATGTTAAAGATGCTAATCTCCCCTATTTGATTTTCAAATCCTTCATGATTAGAAAATATTAGGAAATGTTTGGAAATCATAATGGTCAAATTAAAAAATAAAAGAGAATTTTGATTTGGGAGATTGTGTCATTATGGAGAGAAACTCTAGCTTATGCCTATAAAAGAGATGGCGGAGGAGAAAAAGAGAGGAGAGGAAAGGCAGAAAAAAGGAGTTTGAGAAGGGAGTTTGTTGAAAAGGTAGAGAATGTTTGTTTTTTTCTCTTGTATCATCCCCACTCATAATAATATGGGGTTAGGAATGGATAGAGATGCCCTAAATAGGATGAGATCTATTGTTCATTATTCTTTAATGCCTTAAGGAAAGCCAATACTTTCGTACTTGTGATCACAGATGTGATCTTCAAAAGTGTTAAAGGCTGAAGGGTATATGATTAATAATGATTTAGATAATCCTTTTGTTTTCCATACTCCTTTCTCAAAAAATTATGCTTGTCATGTATATATATGGTGCATATGGTGCCTTGTGTTCTCTCTCTCTCTCTCTCTCTCTCTCTCTCTCTCGCGTTCCTTTTCTTTTCTTTTATATTCTTTTTTTCTTTTCTTCCCCACCTCTAATTCAGTTTTCACTCAAGGGGCAAATCAATTTTTTGTTATCCCCATGAGTATCCTTTCATGCATACAGATAGAAGAGTTGAAAGTCGCATGTACAGTTTTGTTTTTGATGCTCACATACACACACTCAAATACATACTTTAACCATTCATCTCTTTTGTTTGTTGTGTATGGGATGAGGATTGGAATAATCATCAAAATTGTTAAAAGTGATAAAACTTCAACCTCTTGTTTTTCTTTTTATGAGCCACTTATATTATTGTATCCTTTTCTAGCACACTACACCAATACTTGATTTGAGACTTTTGTGTGTGTATTTTTTTAGCCATACCGTGTAAGATTTTGAGTCTCCACAGGTAATTGGTTGGTGAGCATGACGTGTGTGGCAATAGGCTATCACTAGGAATACCAATGATGGTGCATAATTGATTTTAAAAAAATCCATTTTTTTTAAAAGGAGAGATATTTTTTTAAATAAATAGGTTGAAAAATAATTTCTATGCCGTGTGAAATTTTGGAATCTCTATAGGGATAAAATAAATTAATTTCCATGTGAGACTTTTGGAATTTCTGCAAAAATTTCAATCTATCTTTTTTTTTTCAAAAAATCTTTTCTCAAATTAGGGAATAAGTCTCTTTTATAAATTCAAAGATACAAATCGAATTAAAAACCTTTTTAAAAAATAAAAAAAATTCTTTTCTAAAAAATGCTAACAAATTGACATGCATTTTTACCCTTGAACTATGTGAGCTTTGATTTTTTTAAAGGGCACGTAGGCCCTAGAGTTTTATCCTAGGTCAAGTCCAACTTGTAAATAAATAATATTTTTTTATTTATTTTTTCTTTTCTTTTTATTGTTTTGGTTTTGTTAAGGATAATTAAATTTCATTTTAGGCCATAT